ACTGATAAAATATAAAAATATAAGTCAGGAACGAAAGGTAAGAATGTTACCAGCACAATTGTAGACCTTGTTAGTAAATTGTATCTGGGGACGGCCAGGATGGATGTAGATACTATGTGTCACCAATAGTTCTTACTGGCTGTCGGCTTACAGTGAGGTTGGCGTGCGTCTCAGACCTCACTCTGAGAACTGCACGCTGCAGCCCGATCAGTCCCCGACTCGTGAGAGCTTCCTTCAGTGTATCCAAGGTCCTACTGCCGGATCAGCTTCTGCCACCGTATCCTGCTTGCAAATCTGACGCGTTTCGTGGGTGTCCGCCCCACTTCTTCAGAGATAGAATGTTACTTCGTAGTTGGGCGATGGTTTAAATACATGTCTAATTGGTTGATCTTAATTATGCATATCAGTACATACCGTGGTTTAATACAATTAAATACTTAAAAGGATATATTGCACATAAAATAAGAATAATGTAAGAATAATATATTGCACATGAGAATTAGTATATTGCACAAAAAATAATAATAATAAAAATGAAAATAAAAGTCAAAAATGGAGATAATATATTGCACATGAAAATGAAAAAACAAAGGATGATTGAGGATACAAATGTAAAAAAACGAAAAACGAAAAATAGGAGATCAATTACAATTGATTATACATCCAATTGGTCAATAGATTTAAGAGAATAATATTACAATAAGGAGGCAAACTCTTAAAATACATTACATTAAAAAATATATATTATTAGAAATGGATGTATATATTAGCATATAGTAACAGAATCTAAAATGGAAGTAGTCAGACAGTGATTATTATGTCTCATGATATATATTTTAGTACTATTGATAAAACAATACAGTGATGCATTCATCTAGGTGTATAATGTTATGAGGTGGTTATCTTAGTATTACAGGTCTCAATAATTACCTATAAAAAGCCTTTAAGTGGTGAAAGAATAAAATAGAAGAAGAAAATCGAAGAAAGAGAAGGGTGAAAGACAGTATATACAGATATAGTCAGTATTATTAGTGTCTCTATATTAGAATATATGGTGTCAATTTGGGTGAACAATTGACTAAAATGTGTAAGAAAAATACTTGAGTGTAGAGTCTGTGTGTATGGGATATGAAAATATATAAGTACCCATAGTTGATATAATTGCATTAATCAAATAGAATGTAATAGATCTTAATGGAAAAAATTAATTAAAAAAATTTATTAAAAAAAAAAAAAAAAAAAACTTGGAACAGTCTGTGTATGCACTTCATAGTGTTCTATAAGAAGGCATTGAGTTCAAAGTCAACATTGAGACCCTTAGGGACCAGAGTCTCTAAGTGAAAAATCCATTTTGCTTCAGCCTGATCCAGATTTCTTTCCAGGTCTCCCCCTCTCCAGTGAACATTCACCTTTTCAATAGGTAAAAATATCAATCCCTTGGGATCTCCTCCATGGTGCTCCTGATAGTGTTTAGAGAGATTGTGTGTTAGTAGTCCTCTTTTTATATTTCGGATATGTTCCGCTATTCTGATTTTCAAAGATCTCTTGGTTCGACCCACATACTGTTTCGAACAGGGACATATCACCAGATAGATTACTCCTATTGAGTCACAACTCATATTAGACTTCAGATCGTATTCTTTCTTACTGACTGTAGATATAAATTTAGTGATTGTGTGTTCTGAAGAAGGATGGTTTCTGCAGGCTATACATTTCTTGCATCTTCTAAAACCTGTATCCACTGGTTTATCTTTAATAGTATTGGGAGGTTTGAGTGTCGGCGCCAACATGAGTTGAAGATTTGGTGCTCTAGTAAAGATAACATGTGGTCTAGAGTCTAAGATTTCTACAAGTGTGGGATCATTCCTAAGAATGTTCCAATGTTTTTTCAAAATCTTTTCTATAGTATGAGACTGATGGTTAAATTGTGTTATGAAAGTAGGTGCTGAATTAAATGTATCAACAGTCTTGATCCCATTTTTTAAAGTATCTTCTCTTGGGATTAGTATAGCTTTCTTTTTAGCTTCGGTTAGTAGTTCCATAGGGTATCCTTTACTGAGGAATCTTTGTTGCATCTCCTCCATTTGTTCTTTACAGGCTTCCATTGTTGAACAATTCCGTCTGATCCTCCTGAATTGGTTGTATGGAATATTTCTGAGCCAGGTTTGTTTGTGGTGGCTATTAAAAGGAATGAAACTGTTGCAGTCCACAGTTTTTTTTAAAGTTTTCGTATGAATCTTCTGTTCTTCAATAAAAATATTTAAATCTAAAAACTCAATGTGTTTCTGAGAGTGATTAAAAGTGAATTTGAGATTATATGGATTGTTGTTGAGATAAATCTGGAAGGCTTCCAGAGATTCTGGATTCCCTTTCCAGATAAAAAAAAGTCATCTATGTATCTACGCCATAGGGACAGGTTTGCGCCAAAAGGGCAATGGTTCCAGATAAACTCTTCACGTCTACGTTCTACGTTCTACCCACAGCATGTCAAGACTGACTCAATCAAAGTGTTTGAAAAGATGGTTGAGAAAGATTTTCGGAAAGAGATTACTAATAAGATCATGAAAGATAATCTAACTAAAAAGGAAAGAAAAGCATTGACAACTTATGAAAATGGGGGATATAACCATTAAGGCAGCAGATAAAGGAGGCGGACTAGTCATTCTCAATACAGAGGATTACACAGGAGAGAACCAAAGACTATTAAGTGATACTAATACTTACCTCAAACTTGAACAGGATCCAACTACATTATTTAAAGGAAAATTAAGAGAAATACTTGAACAAGGGAAGGAGAGGGGAATTATCAACGATAGAGAATTTAAATATTTGTTTAAACAATTCCCCAGAATACCGATTTTTTATCATTTACCCAAGATCCACAAGAAATTAACAAAACCACCAGGGAGACCAATTATTTCGGGAATAGGATCCCTCACTGCCAACCTCTCCGAATATGTGGATCAATATCTACAGCATCTGGTACCATGTTTAAAATCACATTTAAGAGATTCAACCCAAATTTTAAACCTTTTATCGGATTTTAATTGGACTGATGAGATGATTTTAGTGACAGCAGATGTCACCTCACTCTACACGGTGATAGAGCATCTACAGGGATGTGAGGCCATACAATATTTCTTAGCAGTATATTCAGAACTAAAAAATGATCAGATTGACTTTTTAATTCAATGTATCGTTTTTATCCTCACCCATAATTATTTCTGGTGTGATGAGCATTTTTATCTACAAATAGAAGGTACAGCCATGGGGACAAGGTTTGCGCCAAGTTATGCAAATTTATTTATGGGCAAATGGGAGGAAGAGTTTATCTGGAACCATTGCCCTTTTGGTGCAAACCTGTCCCTATGGCGTAGATACATAGATGACTGTTTTTTTATCTGGAAAGGGAATCCAGAATCTCTGGAAGCCTTCCAGATTTATCTCAACAACAATCCATATAATCTCAAATTCACTTTTAATCACTCTCAGAAACACATTGAGTTTTTAGATTTAAATATTTTTATTGAAGAACAGAAGATTCATACGAAAACTTTAAAAAAAACTGTGGACTGCAACAGTTTCATTCCTTTTAATAGCCACCACAAACAAACCTGGCTCAGAAATATTCCATACAACCAATTCAGGAGGATCAGACGGAATTGTTCAACAATGGAAGCCTGTAAAGAACAAATGGAGGAGATGCAACAAAGATTCCTCAGTAGTGATGTCGCGAACCCGAAATTTTCGGTTCGCGAACGGCGAACGCGAACTTCCGCAGCTGTTCGCGAACCGGCGAACCGCCCGAAACGCCATTGACTTCAATGGGGAGGCGAATTTTAAAACACACAGGGACTCTTTCTGGCCACAATAGGGATGGAAAAGTTGTTTCAAGGGGACTAACACCTGGACTGTGGCATGCCGGAGGGGGATCCATGGCAAAACTCCCATGGAAAATTACACAGTTGATACAGAGTCTGGTTTTAATCCATAAAGGGCAGAAATCACCTAACATTCCTAAATCACAATCAATATGGATTGACACCTGACATATGACATATTGACACCTTGACATATGGATTGACACCTGTCCTCAGAGCCCCTGATGCACACGGACACAGAGCAGAATAGAGACTGGTCCCCCTACATAGGGTCACTTGGCAGATATGGATTGACACCTGTCCTAAGGATCCCTGATACACACTGACACAGAGCAGAATAGGGACTGTTCCCCCTACATCGGGTCACTTGGCAGATATGGATTGACACCTTGTTACAAACTGCTATTTGTAACGGGCCCTTTAAATGGCAAATTGCCCTGTTTCCCTGGGTTGTGGAGAAGCCTCTTTGCCAGCCTCCTCCCGCATGACTATGGCCCCTGGGAGATTGTGAAAATGTATGCACTTTTATTTGGTGTGTATGGCCCTTTAAGACTGTCGGTGGGCATATTGGGGCTTATGGACTCTTTATGTGACTGGTGCTGGCCCTTTAAACACCTTTTTTGGGACATCAGGAAGATTGGGACACTGCCCCTTTAAGGCCGTGTCCCCAGACTTGTTGGGGACACGGCCCCTTTAAGACGGTGTCCCCTGTGTCCCCAGACCTGGTGCAAACCCTTTGTGCCTGCCTTGCTATTTCCCACTTGGTTCAGTAAATGGGAAATTATTTCAGCTGCAGAGACTAAGTCCCATTCGGCGATGGGACTTAGTCTTTTTTTCAGCCGTTTTTTTCAGCCTTATTTCAGCTGCAGAGACTAAGTCCCATTCGGCGATGGGACTTAGTCTTTTTTTCAGCCGTTTTTTTCAGCCTTATTTCAGCTGCAGAGACTAAGTCCCATTCGCCATGGGACTTAGTCGTTTTTTCAGCCTTATTTCAGTTGCAGAGACTAAGTCCCATTCG